GCTTGTTCGGTCGTGCTAACTTCCAGAAGACTACGGAGTCGTGTTCATGAGTTTCGCATTCTCTGCATTAGTCGCAGCATGGGTGAGTCTGTGACCGTGGTCTTGATCTCGTCAGCTCGGCAGGCGCTCTCTTCAGATCACAGTACCTTATTTGACTTCGACGCTGTCGCCTGCTCTACAGTTGGCCGTCATCGCGCTGATCCCGGCTGTTACAGCGGTCATAGCATGGCTACTATCCAAGCTGCCGGTTCCCTCGAAGAGAACAGATGATTGGGTGCGCTTTTATACCGAGCATAATCGGCCACTGATCGAGTAGCTGATCAAAATTGAGAGCTCCGAACGTTTCTAATAAGCCTGTCCGATCCTTGTTCGTAAATCCATAGGACTCGCATTGGCCCGCAACTTGACCTTTTTGATGTCTGTGTCTCTCTATCCCACATGGGAGGGATATCTACTGGCTTTTGCTTTTTTGTGAGAGGTTCTCTAGTCTGTCTGTGAACCGACCTGCGCCCCGCGAGAAAATTTCCCAGGCTTGGGTGTGTCGAAAAATAGGAGCTCTTCTTCCGAGTTCGGATTTGTGTTCGAATGAACCGATTTTCTGAATTTGCCTTGGACAGTCGGACTGTCACAGTCCTATGTTACTCAAGTTTCGGAGTTTGAAATTTTTTGGACGTTTTACGGAGATTATCGATACCGCATCAGTAAATCAAACTGAGTCTATCGATCCATAATATCGAATCTTGATTGTTTGACCAGCCGTTCGATCGCAATTTCACTGTGGCATGTGACCGTGGTTACGCAGATGCGCGCCTGTGTCTTCACCTTGAACAGGGAGTGCGGGATTTTTATCCGAAGCCCGTCTTCTGAATTTGAAGTTATCAAGGACAACTATTGTCGCTACGGCCACGATGTCTTACTTCGCTCGCCTCCATAATGTAACGTCTCGTCTGCTGCTGTGGTCTCGCCTCACGCACTGCTGAGTTTGGGTTTTGTGTTCGGTCCCCCATCTATCTTTGAACAATTCGTCTGTCAGTTTTGTCATTAGTTCTTCCTTTCACCATGCAAATTGCGTTGCTCTCAAAGCTGGTTATATCATGCCTATTCGAGCTCGCTATCAGCGCGGATGATAATTTCTGCCAAAATTTATGTGACGACGTCGTTGGCTGTGTGCACTCCTACTGCATGACGTGGAAGGTCCCGGCACCTTGTCATGGTCTGATTAATCGTACAGATGGTTCTCTATGTTCTGCTTCTTATGACGCCACTTGCACGGGTTCTCCCATCACATGCGATTCCCCGATCATATCTTCACCTGGAACTGCCTCGACTACAACTACTACCACCAAATGCACAGTCACCACGCCGGTCGTCTCAGAGGAAGCCCTCAGTGGTACTTGGTGTTCTGGGGATATTCGCCGTGCTGGTGTTACCCCAATTGAGGTGGTCAGCTTTGCTGGCGATAAGGTCATGTTCCTCTACGATGGTGTTGTCTACTACATGCAGTACTACTTTGAGGGAAATCAGGTCTACATCATCGGTGAGGATTGGAAAGTTGAGCAAGAGATAGGGAAAACTTTCGCTAATTTACGATTCTCATACTTCGTTGACAGCATGCTGGCCGTATGGTCCGAGGAGGTCGTCGGTGATTTCACGAGGACTGGCGTGGACCTCGATTGTGATCCACTCCCCGGCGCCGAAGTAGCACCACCCAGTATAGACGATATAACCAATACACGATGGTGCACTGCTGGATCCCCTGAGGAACAGCAACCTGTCGAGTTGAGGTTTACTTCGAGTTATGCTATTCTTTACTTGCCTCTGCCCTCCCTCATCTTGCCCGCGAAGTACGAGGTTAGAGAGAATTCTTACAAAATTTACCTACATGAACTGGATGACGGCTTTGAAGCTCTGAGTGATCTTGGTAGCGGCGTCTTCGACATCATCTATTATGGCGAGTGGCTATTCATGGTGTTCCAAGATGGTCAGGGCAGAGGGCCTCTTAGACTAGACTCATGCTGAGGTGATTGTTGTCTCTAGTAGCATCATTTCTAGAAGGCTATTTCTCGGAAACAAGAAGGTTCTTGTATTCGAGCTGTATTAGTGTCTGTAGTTAACCTCTCCTCTAATGAAAGGATTTGACGCATTCGTCTCCAATCATCGCCGACTTGTGTTGACTTATGTAGGATGTCTCGCAGAGCATCTATAGGGTGTGACCTTTGATCGTAGCATCCACGCTATGTCTAGGATGATTTGGGAAAGATCTTGTTACGAACGACTTTACCACTGGTGATGCGAGCTGACTAGTTGACCGAAACGACACAATCCTGAGCTCATTCTATCTTCTGGAAATCCATTCTGTACATCTCTGAGGGAAAATCTGCCCTCATAGACAATCTACAGTACGAACGGAAGAGCTATGCACATATGTGTTCGTGATTAGGGTTTATCGATTCGCATCGTCGTCAGATTACCGCTGCTGGGACTCTCAACCAGAAGTTTAATTTTCGCATTCTTTATATTGTGAACTCAATCGAGGAAAAATACATAACGGTTTGATTCTGCCTGTAGTTGGAGAAGTTCTCACCGAATAGTATGAACTCGTGAACAATGCGTATACAACGACCTCTCCGCAAGAAATCGAATTGGAGTATGGAACACTGAGCTCCGAGTATAGTGGTGACCGGGCGCCGGGCTCCAAGAACACTATGGGCCATTGCCTATGGCAAAACTCCGACTCAACAGCGTTATACCTCCGTTTCAAAAAAGCAGTACATGAATAACCAGGACTGGTCAATACACTTATGATTCGTAGCAAAAACATCACATGTAATGAATAATTACATTAAAACAATGTCGTGTTGATTCAGTGGCTAGAGTCTGTCTGAACATCGCGTTACCGACCCGACAGGAGTCAGCCATGCCGCACTCGATGTATACGAGTATGGAAAATGCCAATGGGCGCCTTTATATGGTCCCAGGTTTCAAGGTTCTCACGTCCAATACGCCGATGCTCTGAATCACTAGGTGGATTGCGGCGGAGGATCATCATCCGAATACTGTCGTGGCCCTTCACGGAGGCATATACGAAGGCGTCTCCGAACCCCATGAACTGCAGTGCGCCCTGGATTCCGTTGGTTGAAGCAGCACTGAGACTGCCATGGTCGAGCTCGAG